TCTCCAAAACTAGGCAACACGCAAAAAGAACAGACATCCGAGATATTGATCAAAGAATCTTTTAAAAACCAAACTCGAAAACAAGAGGATTGAGCACCATACAATTAATACAATTAACATATCAAAGAATCTATGCTGATATTGCAAATATGTTAAAAAAGGATAAGAAACATTTCTCTTACTCCTGTTAACCAAACAATTGCCAAAACACTCTCAAATGGTATGCAACAGGCAGCATTATAACATAAAAACATTGTTGGATGGTAAATATCCTTAATAACAATCTAACAAATTACAGCTCAAACAGGAAACGTACATTCGTCGAACTGCTCTAAAATAGAAAGATTGCAAAATAAGCTTTTAAAATTAATAGGCACCGTTAAACGGGGTGGATGAGAAAAACAAATGAAAACATGTTTTGGGTAATTTGTTTTCTCGATTATTACCCACATATTTCCAGCTTCCTGGCTATGAATATCATGCTGTGAATCATCAATCAAGTAATATATCCTCTCGGAGTAAATATGTACATTGCTTTAATGTTCTGAGATATGTCTACAATTTCTTTCTCTTGACCTTCTAGATAATGATCTGATTTACATGAAGACCTCACAAGTATGGTGTTTCATAACATTCCTGAGGAAGAAAATGATTGCATTTTGAAAGGGTTATAATTTGTTTTCCCTTTAAATAATCTTTTTTTTTTTTTTTTTTTTTTTTTGGGGGGGGGGGGTAAATAACCGCAAGAATATTCAAACTGTCATATTATTACATCTTATGGTAACTCTTCAAGATATAAGAAAAACTTATGGTGAAAGAACAAATAAAATGTCTAAAATAAAAACCTCGATTTACTCCCAAATAGCTAAAGTGGATTTAGGTCCTTTTGCAAGAAAACTCTTCATATTCTTGGCGTATAACATACCTACATCAAGGGATTATACAGCTCCACACTACTAAGTACAATTATACTGATATTGCAAATGGCTATATATTATGGAGGTATTAAACAACTGGTAAGCCGGAGAACATTACTGAACGGCATCTCCAGAACAGACATTTTCAGGCACCTTAAGAAAGCTTAAATAATATCCGGCACACTTCGGCAAACAATATATCCCTCCCCTGTTGTTTTTTAGAACTTCCATGATGAACTAGTACATTGTATAATGCTTTACTTGCAGATGGTTTACCTAGTAAGATGCATGTGCTTGCTTGCATTGAGGTTATTTCAGGTCTTACATATTGATGAGCTGTTTGAAATTAACTAGGAGGTATGCGCGTATTTGGGAATGTGGCTTGCTGCTCTACTTTTTTTTAAAACTTCCCACGACATGTAATGAGTGTTTAGTGTACATTATATGGGACGTACAGTGATAGATGGAAAGTTATTTCAGTATATTCGACATGACTTTTAGGTAACTCCTTTTTCCTCCCACTTCATCAACATTCATTCATTTCATTTCATCTACATTATTTCATGAAATGCATTCAAAAAATGAAGAAGAAAAAAAAGAAACGAAAATAACCCGTGTAAAAAAAATATTGTCGGCGAAGCATTTGTTGTAGTACTAGTAGCATTTGTAGTTTGGGACACTTTTTGGGCGGAGCAAATGTCGTCGGAGCAATTGTCGGCGGAGCAATTGTCGGCGGAGCAAATGTCGGCGGAGCAAATGTCGGCGGAGCAATTGTCGCTTCAGGCGGAGCAATTGTCGGCGGAGCAATTGTCGGCGGAGCAATTGTCGGCGGAGCAAATGTCGGCGGAGCAAATGTCGGCGGAGCAATTGTCGCTTCAGGCGGAGCAATTGTCGGCGGAGCAATTGTCGGCGGAGCAAATGTCGGCGGAGCAAGTGTCGCTTCAGGCGGAGCAAATGTCGGCGGAGCAAATGTCGGCGGAGCAATTGTCGCGTTTTGCGGAGCAATTGACGGCGGAGCAATTGTCGGCGGAGCAATTGTCGGCGGAGCAATTGTCGGCGGAGCATCTGTCGGCGGAGCAATTGTCGGCAGAGCAACTGTCGGCGGAGCAACTGTCGGCGGAGCAACTGTCGGCGGAGCATTTGACGTCGGAGCAAATGTCGCGGAGCAAATGTCGCGGAGCAATTGTCGCGTTTTGCGGAGTAAATGTCGGCGGAGCAATCGTCGGCGGAGCATGTGTCGGGTTACCCTTCTGTTTATTATCAAAACCTTAAGCGCAGCACAGCCTGAAACTTCATATCACATTTTCCCCTGAACCTGGTTGTAATGGGCCAGCTTTACTAACATATTTGAATTTATAGATGTTTCTTTCCTGGGGACCTACTGACGAGTTATTCCATTATTACCGGTTATTAATGAATGAACTACAATACTCTGAATCCATTAATCCATATAATTATGTATATATTACTTGTTGCCATGTTGGGCAAGTTTTGGACAAGCTTTTAGGTCGTCAAGAAAACTGGTTATTAATGAATGAACTACATTACTCTGAATCCATTAATCCATATATGTATATATTACTTGTTGCCATGTTGGGCAAGTTTTGGACAAGCGTTTAGGTCGTCAAGAAAACCTTTGTTAAAAAAAGTATGCATTAAATTTGAACCGGTCTATTGCCGGAGTACTTCAACCTCCTATAGCAGGGTCATTGTTCTAAGGGTAGTTGTTCATTAATTGTTACTTGTATGTCCAGAGGTTTATTGTCCAATGTTACTTGTCCATCCAGAGGTTTATTGTCCTAAGAGGTATTTGTCTGAGGGGTAGGATAATTTGTCCTAGGAGTTACTTGTCCAGGGTGTAATTGGACCTAATCACAAACTTTACTACATTGTATCTCTCTGATATTTAACCCCCCCCCCCCCCCAAAAAAAAAAAAGTCAAAAGGCATGAAAATTACAAGGGTACATGATGGCAGCACAAAACTGTGCACCTTGCCTGGTGATGATTCAAGGTTTGTCTCCATATACTATCAATAGGCCCGTCTTCATCAGCTTGAGTTCGCAAAATAACCCGCTATTTTCAGACTCTGGAGTCTGGATATTATCCCAAAGCTCAAAATTGCATCTTCACCAGACTGATATGCTCATCACAAACTATGTAGCTCGGACATGCGCAAATTAGCCCACTATTTCCCAAATAACAGGATATTTTGGAAACAAGACCAAGATTTCTAAGGATATTTTCTCGACCAAGTATCCCGCTAATTGCAACTGCGGGCTGATGACAGCGCAAATTAGCTGGTTAATTTACGATCGGGATAGTTAAAATAGCGGGCTCTTTGGCAAACTCGAGCTGATAAAGACAGGCCTAGTCAGTATGTCTTCCCTTGGGAAATAAACCAAGTGCTCTATATCGTGTTGTATCAATCTAATTAATTGGAAGGAAGGGCACACATCACCTATCATGATGATGTAGGTTGGTATTAGGATTTCTAGCCATTTCAAAATACATGTGATGTATCCCTTCAAAAGAAGAAAATGTCAAATGAGACTGTATTTATGCATGCATGGCGTTTCTCTCATTTTTGTGCTTCCACTTAAATTCAGCTTAATATCAAGGTGGACATCCCCTTTAAATAAAGTGCTACAATTGCCAAAAGATATTTGCTAAATATGTTAGGGATTCCATACAAGTAAATGCAATGATACTACAAAAATGTGAACTTCAAATATAACTTCTATTTTAAAGAAATATTGCAAGTTTGAATAATCTCTTGATGACAAAAAAAAAGCGAATCATGAGTAGTGTACTCAATGCACTCAACACATGCACAGGGTTTTACTTTAATTATTCTTTCTTTATACTCCTTTTATAATGGCCACTAGCCAATATAATGCAAAACAAATCTTTTCCAGGTTGATTTTAACAATTCTTCCTGTAAAAAATTATTAATTAGGTGATTGGTACACTTTAAAGGATCAGATCAGCACTTTTGGTTTTTCACTTTATCCCCTTATGTTTCCACAAGATAATGGGAGGGAGGGGGGGGGGGGGGGTATCATACTTTCATGGTCATCCCTAACCTACCCCCCCCCCCCTAACTCTCAGTGTGGTGATATTTGATGCAATGTGGTGACTGGTGACAAATTGCTTCATTTCTAACATTGCAACATTAAAACCAAGAAATTTCGAAATAAGCATGCTTTTGTTTTGCAAATGAATATACAATAATCAACCATCACTCTCCGACAATTTCCAAAATGTACATGTCAACTAGATTAGTAAATTCAATGCAAAGATAAAAAGGGTGGAAAATGAAGACTCTAAAATGTAAAGAATCTTTTGATGTACTAATGAGTTCTGCTCTGGTGGTGGATATGCGTAGGTGAACCCTTGATCAAATTACCAAACCAATATGGCTGGGTTACATGCGAAAGCTATACCGGTAGTGGTTATTTTTGTTTATAATAATCGAATACCTTGCATGCATGTGCGTATGGCGTATACAGTGTTATAAAGAATGTGTATGAAGCATACATGTACATGTAGTCTATGTGCAGGCTTTAAAATACAGTGCAATGAACGGTTGTATGTTACACTTGCTCTGGCGACAAGTCCTCCATGGTCATATATCCTTCACTTACCATTTTTTTTCTCATCTCGAAACTGAACCAAACTCTATAAATATCCCTGACCCTAACCCTAAAACTAATCTCACACCTACACTGACTTGTAACTGTTACTCTAACAAAAATATACCATTTCCAAAATAAAGCCCGGAGCCATTGTCGCCAGAGCAAATGTTACCCAATGAATATTATGAATGTACATTTCATTTTGGTTAATTATATTATTTTGTTATGAAACGTGTTAATTCAAAAGATTATTCACCACAAAACCATGGACAGATTTGACGGATGATGGCTTTCATCCTGGGCAGCGTTTCACGAAACCATCCTAAGTACAAGTTCACCGACATCCCCTTGAAATGCGTGTATTGAGTTTAACATGCGTTTCAATGGAATGTTGGTGAACTTGTACTTATGAAGGTTTCATGAAACGATGACCTGGTTTACACTCACCGCAGCTGCTATGCAAAGTGGACAAAACGGGCTGATAATGACTGGAATACCGATACAAACATATAGCACACAAGCTGCCAGACTTACGACCAGATCCTGTACAGGGGAACAATACCATGAGAAATAAAGTGTTTACATGCACTAGGGATTTACCAAAACTCAAAGGCCCGAATTCACAAAGGAAGTTTAAATTTAACCCATGATTTAAATCTTCATTTACATAACCCATGGTCTAAAAATACTAAAATCAGCGCAAAATAAGCGTGACGCAGTCAGAGGTCCTATATTAGACGCGCGCAAGGCAAGGTATGCTTACTGAAAAAATTGTGTAATTTTTGTATGAAATGTTACTTATCACATTCCTTCTACTGTACTAACCCTGTACTAACCCTCTAACAGGTAACAAATCCAGAAAAATTCACAAACCACAAAGATATTTATGGTTTTCTTTGAAGGCGTCACTGTGCAACACCCTCTATCAATAAATTCTCCCAACTATTTTGGAATTTTCCCAACCGCTTTTCCATGAAAATAAGACATAAAACAGGCATTTAAAAATCTTTCAACACTTAAATGTCTGGAATGGTATAAAGAGCTAAATCGTTGCTTTGTGACGATTTTCATTCACCTACAGATGTAAAACGTAATTAAATTGTAATATTATGGTTTGTTTTCACTCAAACTTTCAGATTATCTTTAATTGTAGGCCTACATCTACATGTAGCATTGAATTCACTACGTTAGCGCCATATTCTCTCAATTTAACAATGTCACCAAGTCCCTTAAAAAAAAAATCAAAAGTAAAGTATAGAGTAGCCCCCCCCCCCCCTAATAAAGATAAAAGAAGAGCACCAGGGTACTTTGTTTGAGCCTGGTTTACAAAATATGCTACAAAATATAAAGAAGGAAAAGTATTGAGTGAAAAAATAAAAATTATAATGAAAAAATAAAAAAATATATATAAATAAATAAATAAAGGCACAAGGTGTACCAAAGTTGTTTGAGCCCGGTTTCTTGAACTAAACTCACCGCTAAGAACCAGTTGATTCTTGTAACTTTCTTATACGTGTGAGAGGAAAACATGAACCAAATGACGAATGTTGTGGTCCAGCCGCACAAAGTGGCAATGATGAAGAAGACGATGGATATGCCACTTCCCTCTATACAAGCCAATGTGAAGGCCAACAAGGACCAGCCCTGGGAATAAAGAAAGAAAGACAGACAAATTATCTATTATTTGATCCAACATTTCTTAAGCCCGATCGAGTCAAAACGTTTAACCGACGATTAAACGACCGCATTCATCAAAACCGTTTAGCATTTCTTGCTCCGTTTAACCATTATTTTTGTTTTTGTTTTTGAGACTTCATTTCCGATACGGACATCGAAGACTTGCCAATAATTATTGTTTTTAGATCTCCGTAGGGGCAACCAAGTCTTAATTGCCAATAATTATTGTTTTTAGATCTCCATAGGAGCAACAAAGTCTTGCCAATAATTAGTGTTTTTAGATTTCCGTCGGAAAACATAGATCTAGATCTAGTCTTGCCTCTTGGCGATATAATTAGATCTAACTTGTTAGACCTAGATCTAGATAGATCTAGTGTTGCCGATAATTATTGTATTTTTTATAATCTCTCGAATGGTACTGCTTTTAAGGAAATTCAATGAATTCTGTTTTTTGTACAAGTACCTATCATTGGTCATTACGTAATGTACACTAGATCTAGGTGTTTTTGCCCCTCCCACTCAGCGAACCCAGCATGGTCCCATACGTTCTTTCAAATGTATTGAAATAGACCTAGACTAGACTACTTACAATCTGTTTAGCTTTCAAAATTCCATTTATTGACTTGACGTAGCTCATATCAAGTCCACACTTTCGTTCTACATGTTCGGCATCGGGAGATGTCTTGGTTTCCTCGCCAAATGATGCCATACCTTGATAGAGAGTAGGTTTTAACCAGTCGGTTTTACTTGGATGATGAGGTTAAGGTTTCTTAAGCAGGCAATTAATGCAAAGCCGATGACGCGCGCGCGCTTTTTTACGTCCGTTCCGTGCGCGCGCTAGCTATGTGCATAATATAGCTCTAGATAGCGTTAACGCGCGCATTATTAAAGTTATTCGTTAAATCTGCCGTCAAAGCTGGCGGAGGTTATTCTTGTCGTCAAGAGAGAGTAAGTTGAGTGCATTTTATATTGATATTTTTTTAACTTCATTTCATCAAAAATGTATATTGAGATGGTCCTAGGCCTATAGTAAAGAGCACTCTGACTTTCGAATGAATTTTCAAATGATTTCTGTTCTCCATCTGTGACTTCAAACCAGGGATATGCAAACCTCGGCCTCATCTATATCGCGATCACCTCAGTTTACGTTTACGTTTGTTTGCATGCAATATAGCAAATAGAAAGTGGGCGGACTTCTGTGGGTTCTGGTAGAGGCGCTTGTAAATCAGGTAGCGGTCGCGATCGCGCGGTCGGTCACTGGAGTTTCGCAAGACATTTTGTCTTATGACAATGACTCACAATTAAATTATGTCATTTGACTGTGACTGTCTGCATGTTATGAGCTAAATTAGACCATTCTCGTCATAGATCTGAAGTACCATTTTTTAGATATTCTGATATTGAAAATTAAATGGGAATAATCAACTGTCTATGTCTGTAGCTGTATCATGTGTATTAACTATTACGCGTACACTGTAGGTCTAACTGTTAGATTACCTCTGGGCGACTAGAGTCTCGCACAACCTAAGACTATTTTATTTTTGGTTAGACTAGATCTATTCTAGTAATATCTAGATCTAGATCTAGTTATCTAGACTAAGTTCTACTTTAACAGTCTTACTTTGAGATTCAGAAAGATCTATAAGTTCAGTTTAAAGGACAGACTTTCATTCTTGGACAGAGACAAGTGACAGAGTCGATCAGGAATTCAGGATCAACTATAAATCCACTCCTTTGTCACATTGAAATATTATTGATTATAATCAAAAGCTGAAAAGGTGAGGAAGCTGTTAGTGTTGATGAGTAAACCAGTGTGTTGTACAGTACAACTTGTACTTGTAATAGGTGAAAGACGATGAAGATAAGAAGCTAGCTGGTGCCGCTTTGTTTATTGTGATGGTGGTGTCACCGTGTCATGGCGATAATATAATGATGATTTTATTGATTAATTAATTTAATTTTCAATTCCATTCACTTTATTAACTCTTTGAGGTGACATCAGCCAGTGACTGTTTTACAGAAAAGATGATGATGATGATGATGGTAATTGATGGTAATAATTGATTGTGGTAATGTTTGTTGAATTATTTATTTTCAATTCAATTCATTTAATACATCAGTCAGGGACTTTTTTTCAGAAATGATGATGATTCTTCTACTGCTGCTGCTAGCTGCTGCTGTTGGTGTCATGGTGATTGGCATTATGACAACGATTGATGATGATGATAGTGATTAATTGATCGATTTTTAATTCATTTAAGTTTATCATGGAGCCAGTACCTGTTTTAAAGAGATAATGATGATGATGAATGATGATAATTAATGATGATGGTGATGGTGATGATGGTGGTGATGATGATGGTGGTAGTGATGATGGTGGTGGTGATGATGGTGGTGATGATGATGGTGGTGGTGATGATGGTGGTGGTGATGATGGTGTTGATGATGGTGGTGGTGATGGTGGTGGTGATGATGGTGGTGGTGATGATGGTGGTGATGATGGTGGTGGTGATGGTGGTGGTGATGGTGGTGGTGATGATGGTGGTGGTGATGATGGTGATGATGATAATGATTGCTTGATTCGTTATCAACATCTTCGAGCTAGTTGCCGTCAAAGCCTCCCGCCTCGCTCAGTACATTTCAATTAATTTTATTTCTTCATGGAAATCATTTAGTAGCAGTTTTAAAGAAAATGATAAAGAAATGATGATTATGAGGATTGATGATAATGATGATTAATGGTGATGATTGATGACACATCACTTTAACTTTTGTCCGTGCAACTCTAGTCTCTACTAATAATGTCACATCTTTTTCTGTAGGTAACAATCATGGCAGAAACTGGAGGATTTCCCGACACCCATACAACATCGACCTACTCGACTACGACAACTCAGCAGACGGCGTCACCAGGAGTCTCGTGTACGATCGACAAAGGATATGCCACATCACTGCCTGGTATCATTAGGATAGTAGAGATTGTGAGTATATGATTTTCCCTTTTTTTAGGGGATGGGGGATGGGGGGTAATCAAATATTGCTGACCCCATGATCGAACATACAAGCAGGCCTCCATACAGTTGGTTTTTGTGAATTACAAAAAAGATCAGTCAATGGAAAGTGCTAGAAAACCCCAAGATGTACATAAATAACGAGCCTTTAAAAATGCTTGCTATTTCCATACTCCAGTGGCATACATTGTACATGTACATGGACATGTGATTTGAAAATTAAAATGTGTATTCTGTATGTTGTCTACTCAGAAACCAAAGCGTTCATCTTCCTATATATGCATGACATTGACATTTATTGACATACCATCTGTTTTTCAAAAGAACATATTATGTGTACATTACAAATAAATACAGACATTATGCTCAGGATCATAATATTTAAATAAAATTTACTGAAATTAATTTTAAAAAAAGAGCTTTTATGGATTTAAGATTTAGAGGCTTGCTTAAATTGAATGGCTATACATGCAACAGTTCTAAAAATACATACCAGGTACACCTGTAGGCCATACATGTTCTTGATGTACCTGTGTCTGTAGGCCATAGAAAGATAAGATAATGGAAAGTTGAAATAAAGTAGATATATTTATCAATTTCATAATTATAACCATCCCTCTACTGCAAATTATGAATATAAGCATTGCTTCTCTATATCTGCTAATTAGAGATATTGCTTGATCTGTACGTTATCTGAATAATACTGCTGTCAACACATTCAGCACTAATTTGTTTCGGTTAATGTCCACAAGCTCGGCATATAAGAGTATAGGTTGACTGAGAAAGGAAATGGCAGCTTAGCTGGCCTCTCGTATCAAAACCCAAGTTGAGTTGAACACTAATCCAATGACTTTGAAAGTGTTGAAATGCAATGATAATTTCCCTCTTTAGCAAGCTGAAGAATCCAAAGTAAGAAACTAAGGCAAGTGGTGTGATGGCAACTTGTTATGTTTTCAAAACTCATAGGGTCATGTGGGAAGGAAGGTGAGGGGGGGGGGGGGGGTGGGAGAGATAAAGAATCATGAGAATTTAAAGCTTCTTTATACATGTAAATGTTGTAAAAAGTTTATGGTATCTGTATTAAAGGTAATACAAAGTTTTGGTACAAGGTCATGAATTTGATTCAAATGAACATATTGGAAGCATATATGCGGTCCTACAATATTCAGTGATCGTTGTCGCAGTTGAAATCGAGTCTAAAGTGATGAAATTGTAAATAATAAACTCTTTATGTTGTATAGCGCCCTCTCAAGGTCAATATATTAATTTAGCTATAAAACAATGTTCTTTGAATAAAATCGACCAATTTGCTATAACCGTTTGGAATATATATATCACAACTACATATTCTGAGATTTTCATGGTCGCAGCTACCATCGTTTAGTCGTAGGCGCTATTTCAAATTAATCAAAATTTACCGGGAGCACCGGTAAATTTGTATATTCAATTTTTCTCGAAAGCAGAAGTGTTTTAGTGCTTATAATACATCCATAGGGGCATCCAGATATATCAACATTGTAAAGAATCACTATCCAGCCAATTTTCAAAATCTACCAAAACGTTGTAATACCTTTAAAATGTACATGTGCATGTGCATTCAGTATGGGTAGTACACAAGACTGACAGGAGTGGTCCTCAAGTGAATAAGCCCTAGAAAACTATTGTAACAAGAAAAAAATAAAACTTTAATACAAGTTGGGTTATATTGATATTGCTGTAAGGATTTACAGTGGCATATTTGAACTCATGTGAACAACAAGTAAAGTAAACCTCACCCCGAGAAATAACTCTAGTTATTCTGAGAGATTTCTTGTATTCTTGCCCATTAATCTACAAGATTTCCTCACCAAAGTGTTCGAGAGAGGTATAAAGCAAGATATTCTTAGCAGGATGTACAGCTTTTTAGAATGACATGGGTTCACCATTTTATTGATAATCTGACATAAAGTTGTTTATCAAGTACATGTATTCAAATTTATGGATGCTTTCTTCTCAGGTGTACATATATGTTGATGAAGTATTTCATTCACCTATTATCCTTCATACTACAATTGTCAAAACACAAATTGCATAAAAAAGTTGGTGCTCTTCTGGGGTGAAAATTTTGCATAAATGAAATAGATTTGTCAACTGCTACATTTTATATATTTTTTATATGAATGAGTTACAATTGTTACCCTGTTATATACTTATCACCAAATATAATTTTTACCTTCTCAGCTTTGATTTTCCCTCACTGAAAAGTAATGGTTTTCTTGTTGAATTATAAAGTACTATTTCCAAGTTCCAACTAAAGCATGGTGCACAAGTACAAGTATTGTTGTAATTCAAAAGGCAGGAGTACATCTCATCTAATCTTTACACTGTATGCTCACTATGCTGAATGTAGAACATGTGTGATATCATATGTGTTCCAGGTAGTAAACATTTTCATAAATTCTTACAATGTACATGTACATACGTGATTACATGTATATTGTACATGTCCAGTGTTTACAGTGCAAAGTAATGTTACAATACATCGGCTGTTTATTCAACATTTGTTTGCTCAGTTTACTAGTACATGATGTACTGTACGTAGTCAATATTGGTTCAGAATTGTCTAAATACCACAGGTGCACTGAAATATCTGATGTAAAGTATGTGAATATTTTACATGTATGAGAAAGTGTCACCACCGTTCTACATGAATACACAGGGCCCGCGGAACGGCACAGTATGGTATAAAAAGAGAGGGAAAACAAGAAAGAAAGAAAGACAATTGTTCAAATCGCCATGTTATGCTGCTCTAGCTACCTGATTGTAGATACTTTAGCACCCCCCCCCCTCCCCCACTTTGAAAAGCATTCCGGGGGGTCTGATAACACAATAAATAATGGTATAGTATTTTCATTCATCTTTCCAGCTTGCATTCATCTAGAATGTAAGCCATGCATGAAAAGAAATTTTAAAGGTTGGATGAATTGGATTTCCTCTCTGAATAGCCAACCATATTTTACTTTGCCAATACTACAATGTAGTGTTTGATACATGTCAAAACATATTGACTTGATTGGGTGATGAGAGATTAATGAGAGGAAAAGCCCAGTAGGCAGACGTGTGTGAGACGGGTCTTATTTATGTCAATTAATCATACAGTCCTGCGAAACATTACATGGGGAGTTGCGTGTTGTTGGCCTTGTAGATGTATAATCATCATGGCGTAGGTTGATAGCTATATAGGGGCTGATCGATATGGGGTTACATACATACATGTACATGTAGGTAAATGCCATTCACCAGAGAGGCGATATTTTTCTGTGAATGTTTACCAGGATCGGCTATTCATTTGTGTTGGGAGGGGAATGGGTCTCCTTATATTCCTTTATAAAACGGTTTATTTGAATTTGATTATTTGAACAATTTGAATATATTGTCTGTTGAGAGCCAGAAGTGCATTATCTCATAAACTTAATTCTCAAGTGACAATACAGATTGAATTATATTTTGAACTTTGAATTATTACTTTGAACAAGTATCATTTGGGAATGTACATGTACTTAGGCAGGTCCGAGCTATTTGGATTGTGACGTACGGGACATTCAGAGACTTTGAACAAGAAATTACAACAGATAAAATTATTTATATGACTTTCTTTCGGTATGAGTCTGTGGCTATTATGGGCTAGTTCATTTTTAGAAAGTTTTAGTTCTGACCAAATCTTTAATTAATTTTTAATGTAATTAATGTGCAGCGTGACGTACGGTTTGCAGCGTCCCGTACGTCATGCGGCACATTAATTACATTACAAATTGATTGAAGAGTTCGTCAGAACTAAAACTTTCCACAAATGAACTAGCCCATAATAGCCACAGACTCATACCAAAAGAAAGCCATATAAATAATTTCATCTGTTGTTATTTCTTGTTTAAAGTCTCTAAATGTCCCGTACGTCACAATCCAAATAGCTTGGACCTGCCCATGTGCATTATCTCATAAACTTTAATAGAATATTAGTTATTAATTGTTAGTTATTAAAGGGAAAGTCCACCCCAAAAATAAGTTTGTTTCGATAGAGGCAGAATAATAAGAAAATCAGGTGAGTGAAAGTTTGAGCAAATTCTGAGTGAAAATAAGAAAGTTATGAATTATTGAAGTTGTGATCAATCAAATACAAATTGGCAACTCTGTGACTTATTATACGAGCTCTCCTTCATTTGCTTTGTGCATAATATTCCATAAAATCATGTTTTCTTCGTTATTGATGACGGAATATATATTTGTTCCTTGCAGGGGGAGTATAGAAACATATTTGCAATTATTATATTTAGGGTGCATGTATGGTTGAAATTTTTCTTGAGGGAAAATGAAAATTTTATATTTTTTTAGTACTGAGCAAATGGAAGTTGAGCTCGCATGATATGTCATAGAGTTGCCAATTTGTGTTTGATTGATCACAACTTCGAAAATCCTAACTTCCTTATTTTTAATCGGAATTTGCTCAAACTTTCACTTACTTGTTTCTCTCATTTTTCTACTCCTATTAAAACTAACTTAATTTCAGGGTGGACTTTCCCTTTAATTCTCAAGTGACAATACAGATTGAATTATATTTTGAACTTTGAATTATTACTTTGAACAAGTATCATTTGGGAATGTACTTATGGAAGTGAACTTCTCTTTGCCTTGTTTGCATGAAGATCATTATTGTCTTGCCTCAAATAAAGCACAAGCAGATGGTATTTTTTCATACATGTACCATGGCATATTTTGACATTTTAGTGATTGAGGCCATTTTTTTTTTTTTTTTTTTTTTTTGGGGGGGGGGGGGGGGGGGCCGGGGGGCATCTATTTTGTTCTTCCCCTTTTCACCTGGACATCATAATAAGTAGTTCAAACACTGTGCGTGGGCATTGTACAGTTTATAGAGTGCTTTGCTATCGTTCCACAGACTTTATTGAACCGTTTATAGAGGGCCTTGCTATCGTTCC